CGTTGCCTTCAATACATACAAAACACATACAATATGTTCACAACATTTACTCAATTCAACACAAACTCTGTAGTCGTGCTATAAATCTAATTATGAAATCATTTCCAAATATAGACATTAATTATAACTTATAATTTATAAGTATTGAAAAATAATAATTTTTGTAAATAAAAGTTATGAATGAATTGCACATAACTTACCATTAAATGTAAGTCAAAAGTGTTCAACGAATAACTTATTGGCAATAAGTTTGTGGCCAAACCATTATAAATCACACGTCAATTGAACGCACATATAGTGTATTCACAAAACTAATTACAATCAAAATTGTGTTTATAATTATAAAACTATAATTGAAAACAAATCTCTGGACCAAAAAAGCACAGTTGAGTTCACAAAAGTTTTTTGCTGTTTTGTTTGCCATTAAGTTATGTATTATTTGTTTCATAGGAAAACTTGTGCCAACTTTTCTGTGTTCGCAAAATAAAACTTTTTTTTAAAACCCAGTTCTCTGTGTTTGCCTTCACTTTCCTCACCAACACATTGACTCACTCTCACAGACACTCTCTCTCCCTCTCTATCACAATGTATTCACTTCTGCCATACATTACAAGCAAAACCAATGGAAAAATAAGTGTTCACTTATTTCAACTAACATTTGGCACTATTTATGGCAAACATTCATATTGTTAGAGAATATGAGTGTATATAATGGGCACAAATATTATGTGGAAAATAACAGAATTCAAACATTTGAGTAAAGTTTTCAAACAATTAGTTTTGTATCAAAACTTTTTTACATTCATATCAATCAGATTTGCGATTAAATGCCATAAATATATTGTTATATTAATAATAGACGAGTCATTCAAAATAATTAATAAATCATTTTATAGATTAGATTGCAATTTGAATATTTTAAAATACATATAAATCGTTGGTTTGTATTAAAAATATTAAAAATTAATCTCTAAATCAGAACTGAATTATGGAATCAATTGCTTAAGACATTAGCCAATTGATAGACATATGCGGCCAACACTTTAGTGCCTGAGATATAGTTCTTGCGGTCAATCTTCTCGTTCTGGGAGTGCGCGGAGTCATCACAACCTCCTATTGAACAGTGAATTAGAGTTAAAATTTAGTTCAGTCATTACATTTGAAATCACATATTGATTACCGATTGGCAACAGAAGGACACTCTTTCCGGTCACCTCTTCAAAGGTTAGCGTCACTGGTATTGAACCGCCCTCTCGGGTCAGATCCGGATCCGCGCCAAACACTGTGTCCACGAAATGATAAAAATATACATTAATTTAATAATAGTTTTAATTTCTTAACCAAAACACTAATTACCGGAACGAACAGCGAGTTTAGCGGCCGTGAAGTTCTTGTTGTGAGTGTCGGCGACCCACGGCTTACTGGCCTTACGTTTGATGACAGACAACCGGTTCGGGGACTCGAGTTTCGCGAACTCTTCGGTCAAATAAGCGATCACTTGATCCGCGATTTTGTCCGGACATTGATTTGGGACCAAACGTATGGAGAATTTGCCGATCACTTTGCGTGGGATCACAGTCTTGGCGCCGGGGGTTGAGTGCGCGCCCTCTACTCCGTGAATGGATAGACACGGGTATCGCCACCGATGGGCCAGAATGTCGGCCTTCTTCTCGTGCAACAGCCGATCGGTTCCGATCTCTTGGCGGTACTCATTGTGGTTGAAGTCTATCGTCTCATAAGCGGCCAACTCTTCGTCCGTCTGTTCGGACACGTCGTCCATCACTCCGGGGATCAAAATATTTCCCTTACTATCGACCAAACGGGACAACAGAATCATGAGATCAGTCATCGCTTCGTGAACTGAACCGCCATAAGAGCCCGAATGCAGGTCTTTGTGGGCGCACTCGACCTCCACATAGAAGTATGCGTTACCTCTCAGGCCATACGTTAGACACGGTTTAGTGGTTCCCAACCAATAGTTATCACTAATGCAGACGTAGTCCACGTCTGCGAGAAATGTGTCCTTCAATGAGACCACGAGTTCATTGAGTCCAACAGAACCCGACTCTTCCATACCCTCGAAGACAAACTTCAAGTTCACGGGTATTGCGGTGTCTGTCCGTTGATAGGCGTCAATGGCGTTGAGCCAACCCATGACCGGTCCCTTATCATCGGTGGCGCCCCTCCCGTACAGACGGCCGTCCACTTCGGTCAACACGAATGGGTCGGTGTCCCAGCCGTCGGCCCTTTCGGCCGGCTGTACATCCAAATGGCCGTAAACGACGAGTGTCTTCGCCGACGGATCCGAACCCAACGACGCCAACAGAACGGGCGGAAGGGGTAGTGTCTGTCCGTCGGGCCAGCGCTCGGTCCCGATGTCGGCCAACTCGACGCTCAGACCCCTCGCCCTGAGCTCATCGGCGAACCAATGCATGACTCGTATTGTGTCGGGTCTGGTGTCCGCCTGAGCCGACACACTCTTCATGGCCACCGCTTCGGCCAATCGGGCGATGAAATGGTCGGCATTGCTGTCGATGTATGCGAACACTGGACTCAATTCCGGCGGTACTTCTGATGTCATCGTTGATCACGTGATGGTCACAACCGGTGCTGAAGACTCTGATTGGGAGACAATAAATGGTGTGAAATAAGCGTAAAGTGAGTATCGATTGTGTCTTACATTGAGATATAGATTGCAAGCAATGAATCAAATTTAGTCCACAATTAAAGCATTCATTCAAATGAGCGATAATTTAGTGATAAATGAAAACTTTTTCAAACAATTCATTCGTTTGTGTTTACAATACATGTGAAAACACCACTCATTCATAAACAACGGCTAATTATAAAACTTTGTGTTTTAGTCATTGATGTGCACTAAATGATCATGTTCAATTATACGGTTTAGTTTTAATTAGATTTAATTATTTTTACAAATTACTTACAAAAAATAGCATAATCAATGTACAATATCCGCATTTAAATGACAATTTTAGATTTGTTGAAATAAACAAGTGAAATATAATTATTGCATTTACTGTTACGTTAATAGGTATAATGTTTAGAAAATTACCTTACGGTTATATGTAAAATATTAAAACGGTAATTGTTTAAACAAATCAATTGATATAATATATCATTGCTATATACCGTAGAGATAAATATTTAATTATAACTACACTACAAACTTTTATTATCACCCCACTAGTTTCCCATTGATTTCAATGTAAAGTGGTGCCAAAATTATTAACCCAAAAGTTAATAAATTAAATAATTATACTTAAAAGTTACCGATTTTTAAAAATATTTCACTAAGATGTAGGTTCGATTGTTGGCTAAAGTTTCCAAAAAAGATTTGTTAAATGTTGAGTACGAGTGGCCATTGCGGCCGCACTGTAAATAGTGTTAAAGTGAATGCATCGGTAGGTTCGGGGACCCGCTAGCACTGGCCACTGACTATCATGAATGTTTATGGCATGGATTTTATACATTTGATATCTATCTATCATTTGAGATATTGATTAGTAATTTACCATAACACACTGTCTAGTTCCAGACCTAAAATCAACATCACATATTTTCCATAATGCTTTTCAATACGAGTTTTGGGGTGCGGGTCGGTTATAGGCCTGGAACGGAACAGTGTGTGGCGGGAAATCATTGATCAGTATCTCAAATGATAGCCACACATCAAATGTATAAAATCCATGCCATAAACTTTAATGATAATCACTGCCCAGTGATTG